CAGATTTTTCTTGAATTCGAGGATAATGATGTTATTACCAGCTGATTAAGGAGGAGTAGTGTAAGTGTCAGATGGGTACGAACGTCATCTTGTGACAGCATCACCTTTGTTTGGGTAAATAATTTGTTCAGAATTCGCTTCATTTATCAACAAAAATTTAGCTGTTGCATGTCAGTAGGTCTATTTTAAGTATTCAATGTTTGAATTAAAGCACTTATCAGGTCCAGTACAATCTTTTGATTTAGCTATATATATAGCTTTATTAAGCTGTTCAGAATAGCTTATTTTAGCTATTTTATCACACTTTTTCTTAAATGTGTACTTTTCTCAGCATGCACAAAAAGTCGCACCTTGGTGCAGTTATGATACTCAACCTTGAACTCATCTGAAATTGATGCATTTATAACTCACTCATTAAAATCTCCTTGCATACATGTGATAATTTTTAGGCCCAAATACTGTACAGCAGTCCTCAAAATACAGGAATTTGGGTGAAAATACTGTACATTGTTCATCAAAAAACTATACAAAAAACTGTAAAAAAATATTGACCAAAAGTCAATGTAAGAGGTTCATTTTTTAAGCTCTTCTGGGCCAAAGGCCCAAAGAGCTAATGCTATGGCCATTTGTGCGGTGTGCGTAAACTTTTTAGAATATGGGCCATAACTCAAGAACCCTTTGGCCAATTATTGTCAAATTTGTCACAGCGTATCATTGGGCCAAGGGCTTCCATTTATACTAAAACTAGGGTTGTGATCCTTAAACAAGGGGAGATAATTAGGAAAATAGAAACAAAAGAGACTTTGTACTCAAAGTTCTAAAAGTTTTTGGGCTTCATACGCAATTGATACAGTTACTTCTTCAATGAATTTATAAAGGAGGCCAATTATGGTCAACAAGATAATTGATTGGTAATTAATTCAGTACATTCAATGAGAAGCAATCATACTTATCCATGCCTCAATGCACACAAGGTTGTGGACAGTTACTCAAATAATAGAAATTTATCTTTTGCTTAAAAGTAATCAAAAGTTGCAAAGTTGGAGCTATCTTTGATTTTGCTTGTTGTTTCGATAGCCCATAGCACATTATATGAATAGTCAAATACATGCAACTTTTTGTCTATTTCTTACCAAAATAATTTTTGTGAAAAAACTGCATATAAATAGCTAAATCAAGCTATTTTGAATAGCTTAATAAAGCTAAATAGCTATTTCAAGCTATATAGCTAAATTAAGAGATTGTACTAGACCTGCTTATTTCCCAATCCCAACGATAAAACTTTCTTTATATATTCTGCAAATTCTCTCTGCATTTATCATTGAACAAAATTCATATGACTGCAATTATATGACCATATTCTTCAGTTTAGAGAGCATGTTATAGAGGATATTTTGGTTAAAGTTTTGGTCTGTTTCATGCAGTGTTTGAAATATTCTTTCATCTTACACAATTGTATACATTAAGATTTATTTTATAGCTAAAGTACAAGAGAACTGCAGCATCTAAGACTACATGTACATCGACTTTGAATAATCTACCCGGTATATCCTCAAAAAGGCAACTCAAATACAGGTATGAAATTGATGTCACAAAATAAGTTTTTGGACTTACATTTACTCTTATAATTCATATACATATAAGGCATATAAAAAATAAAAATAGAAAAGAATTAAAGGTTCATCAGGTGACAGCTCAATCATGTATGGAATATTATTAGGCCAAATAAAAAAATATGTGTGGTTCCCATTACCTGACTGTCCCTATTTTAGATCCCCGACCCTAAACTTTTTTTCGGCAATATTCATATTTATTTTCCAGAATTTTCCGCGATTTCCGTCATCCACTTCGGTATTAGTTTTAGTTCCAGCAATGGCGGCCTCCATGCAAAAATCGTTTCAACACGTAGTGCAAGTGTTTGATGGTGTTAAATCTAAAGCAAGCTAGCATGGCGTGGCAGTATACCTTTTTCCAGCGCCATGTTTTTTGTTTGTTTGTTTTTTGGTTGCCAAAATTAAATAAATATGCCCAAGAGTGGCGAGATTCAGTGCTGATTAGCCCCTTTATTATTTAATGCACGCAAAGGTGTGAAGTCAGGATAGGAAATCACTTCTCGCTTGAAAGCACACAGACAGCTGGCCAGGTAACGTTTTTTGGAGTTAGGGGGAAGATAACATGAGAAAACATTTATTTGATTGCATTGATTACGCAAGAATTAGCCCAATGTGTAAGATAGATTAACTTGTAAACTATTAAATAATTTATATCAGGATCATTTCTTTTAAACCGAAAGTAGAAAAAAAAAACAGTTCATGAGGAAAAGTGAAAAAGAAGACTGCTGATTTTACATGAATAAAGTCAACTTGCAAAACACCAATATATATGAGAAATGAGCTTGGAAGTATGAAGTCTTCAATGAGGCAAAAAGGTTTCATGAAAGGATTTAAAATTTTAATAATATTAAATATTTGTAATTCTGACAAATTTGAATGATTCTATGTCATCTTGCTTAGGTGATTTATTTTCTTTTAAACATTTCTGTACAAAGTATAGGTGTCACATTCTTTTCCTCTGACAGCTCTTAGCAGAACTCTCATGTCCGTTTTCTAGTTTATAGTTCAGAATTTATTAAGTAAAATAAGAACTATTCTGGATAAAAGTAATTAATTAATTTCATTTATAAACACTGATTTTAAAACAAGGATGTTCACCTTGGACTTTATTTTTTACAAAAAGAAAAGATTGTGTTTTCATTATTTTTGATTTAAAAATATTTGTTTCATATTCATAACTAGGTGCCCCCTGCCAGTGTTGACTAGTATATTTAACGCCACATCGAAATGCCACTTATTTTCTCCTTCACTCTGTTCACCCACAAATAAAACATTTCTTTTCTGAACCATAGTTGGAAAAGACTGAATTCAAAATAAACAAAACATTTATTAGTTATGAGTTATATACTCAGCTCTTCACAAAATATTTCTGTTTTTTCGCATTCTATAATGTACAATTTTAGATTTTATATACCTGCATAAAGACTTCTGCAGCAGATTCTGATGGAGAAATCATGATCTATATTTAAGATTTAATGTATAATGCTTAAGATATCCATTAATTTTACTTATAATATACAATTCTGAAATTAATATCATCCTTTAAAAACAAGGATAGCACATATCATCTTCGTAAACACTTACATTCTAAAAAAAGAAAATATAATATCCAAATAACAGTTAAATAATTCAATTTGCTCATGCTGATTTTCTTCAAACATTGTATTTTCTAGATGAGTATGAACTCGAATGAATAGAATCAGCAAACAACTGCTTAAATGCCCAAGACATTTTATTCACACATTAAAGCACATATCTAATCCATATGCTTAAGAGAAAACATATCTTACACTCTACACATAAAATAGTTCACTTATGCTAACGAAAAGAAATAGGTATTATTTAGAAAAATTTAGAAAATCATTTTGTACAAAAAAAAAAAATCCCTACCTACCCTATTTTTTTGGAGGTGTAACCGGAACCACACATATTTTTTTGTTTGGCCTTAATGCCGAGTTTCCAAATGCAAAATTAAGGGTATTCGATATATTCCATACAAGTTGTCAATCATTTATTAGTGATTTATACAGAGGTTCATTTGCATATAAATGTTGTTAACATTGTTTTACTGTCTTTATTAACTTGTAATACTAAATTTTATAAATTGACAAATTCATTCTTTTTAGAAAGTGCATATAATTTGGAAAAGAGACCATCAATCCACTGGGGGGTATCGCATGAAAGCAATGATTATAGAATATTGTAAGGCTGGAGGAGTTATAGTACAACAGGCAGGCAAGTAATGGTACTTTGTTCTGGAAAATTTTCGCCCCAGTTTTATTTTTCTCATTCTGCCCTCCTTACAAGTAGGTGAATTTAAAACGGGACAAATTCGAAGAAGGCAGCATATATCTTTTAAACACAAATGTGTCTGATCAAATTTGAAATGGGCAAAAGTGTTTTCAAGGGTGAAAGAGTGAATATTTTAAAAATTAGAATGGGGTGAAAATATCCAATAATACAGGTTATATGTATTAACACAGTACATATGCATTTCTCTTTTCTTTATAATGAAAATAATTTGTTCTGTAAAAGAACAAATTTTGTTCTGATTTGTATCAAATAAATAAATATGTGCCAGATTTATTATTTTGCAGGCACCTAAGTTACCATCAGTTGTGTGTCAAGCTGTGCAAAAATTCTATGTCATGTTACAGAATCTTTCTTAAATACAGGTATATGTCTGCTCATCTGGCAATCTTAGGACATCACTGGATGGTTTTGTTTAAAAAGATTACAGAGTTAACACACACTTCCAGCATGAAGACCAGCCAGTTGCCTCACCTGTCCTGACATTGTTAAAGGTAAATGGTCCTTTCAGAAAAGGATCTGACAATGCAAAGGCTTGCTCGTCAATTAAAGATTTCTATTTACCAATAGCTAATTAATTTGAATTTCTGTAACTTAAAAATTTAATGATATGAATTAAAAATAAATATTTTTATCAAAATTATTTTTATTTCAGTACTTTGTGACAGTGAAAAGACATGGCTTTAAATTACTGTATCAGAGATCAATCCAGGTTATAAATCTGAGGAAAACAATAAAGCATCCACTTTGAGCTACTTATATCACTGCCTTAATAAGATGTCTGCATGTGTAACTAACAAAGGACAGAGACCAGTTGTAGCTATGATATCAGAGGGCATCCTGAAAAACACTCATCACTAAGAATAGAAAACTTCAAATGACTTTTGTATCAATCCTTTTGAATTTCATCTGGCTTGGAATTTCAGTAGCCTTTAGCATCCTTCAAGCAATTCATGAAGTACATGTACCAATTTGCAGGCATAAAATGTTTGAAACAGATTGCTTGTCCCAAATAAAAAATAATAATTTCTCTGCCAATTAACAGTGTCATAAGCAGTTGATTGATATCACAGTTCCACTGGCATAGTATTTGTGGTTGAATGGTGCCATTTTTAAGGAAACTTTTCACAAAAACCTGGAAAACATCAGATGGAAAGGGGCATCTACAAGAAAAACAGTTAACACTTTCTTGAATATTAACAATGATATGTCATGCCCCATTTACATCCTTTATATAAACTAATTAACCTAATCATAGAGAATTATGTACAAATTTGTCCTTTTGTGTATTTATAGTGTATTAAATTGATTTTACTAATTTATAAATATTTATGTTTTTCACAGTCATTAACGTTTACAAATAGAAGTACATATAACATAAAAATATTACATGTTTAGTAGGATAACGTGAAATTGTTATACCACAAAAACCATCGCTGACCTTGCCTCGGTCAGCAATGGTTTTTAAGGGGTAAGAATTTTACATCACCCAAAATAAACAGGTAAATATTTTTCTTGTCATAAAATGCATTTTAAAGAAAACATCAAGGTGAAACGAATGTGCAAACATTCTGCACAGTTAACATTTTTTATTACTGTATATACTGTTACCCGTAGTCATGCATTTTCAACCATTGGGATGTAATGTTTGGCATACAGTATGGTAATAGTACTTGTTAACAAATGTTTTTTAAACCAATCAAATTTGACTATTTAACATATGAAAGTGTATAACAAATTTATCTAGCATAATGGTGCTGTAAGTAACCATGGAATGTGAGCTTGTGTGAACTTGATTCTGAATTATTAAGTTTTGAATATTGAATTGTGCAACCTAAACTTTAACTTGTACCTGATTTAAATGGAGTTCCGTCATTAACAACTTGGAAGTTGTCACACTCTTCATGAGTATAATAACTGGGGGATCTGCTTCATTAGCAGATACATGGATAACACATTCACTCAAAGCACTGTCCCTTTTTCAGTACCTTGTGCAGCCCTGTAATATATAATGACAAATGGAGAAAAATGCCTATTTCAAGAAAAAAAAGTCTGTCTCATAATTGTAGGAGTATTGGCAAAGGGGGGAGGGGGGGGGGGTCATGAAACTTTGTAGAATAAAAAATGATTATTTTTTGAGTGTGTGTGACCATTTTTATTTCCGAATATACAGGGTAGCTTATAGCCTACAGAATGAGCTGACCATTTTTATTTATTGTAGTAATTAAATTACAAAAAAAAGAATGTGTTTTCTACAAAGATCATATGTTATAGACGTGGTATTCAACTTTGTATTCCCATGGTCGATGCATTTGGGTACATCTGTTTTTTTATTTGCTTTCAATGACATCGCATTCAATATCCCAAACTCATGTATACCTGTCCAATACTCCAAATTATACCACTGTAAGCTAAGTCGATGCTTTAAATTTATGAAACCAATCTGTAGATAAGCGTACCTTTTGAATACAGACGATTTTAGCGTAAAAACGATTTAATTTTCCCTTTTTGCTTAAGTATGTTGGCTAATCTTGGCCCCCTCGGAATAGCTTGTGTTTACGTTATGTAATGAAAAAAATAAAGCAATTAAACGCTATTTACCTGCATCTATAAATCCACTTTCTCCTCTTCTTTGCAACAATCGGGGATCAAAACAAACTACAAGTTTAATAATTCCACTGTGATGCTTACAACTTAAGTAATCCATGGTCTCCAAGAATGCTCAGGTACCCGGGAGTTATAAAACGAAAGTGAAAGTCAACGAGACTTACAGACCCTTTGAATTTTCCTATAGTATACATGAAAGATAAGTGTAATAAATATAATTTGTGAGCAAAACAAACAACAAATTCTACTGGGGTGCTTAAAACTAAATGCGAAGCTGTAATCCATTGTCTTCAAGAATGGTAAGTTATAAAACGAAAGTGAAAGTAAATGAGAATTAAAGGCTATAGTCTTGGGAGCAGTTGTTATTTCATAAATAATTTGAATAGGTGATATCACCTATTCGAATAAGTGATATCACCTATTCAAAATGATTAAGTGATATCACCTATTCGAATAAGTGATATCACCTATTCGAATAGGTGATATCACCTATTTGATTTTTGAATAGGTGATATCACCTATTCGAATAAGTGATATCACCTATTCAAAAGGAATAAGTGATATCACCTATTTGAATGGGTGATATCACCTATTCAAATTGGTGATATCACCTATTCGAATAAGTGATATCACCTATTCGAATAGGTGATATCACCAATTCAAATCAAATAGGTGATATCACCTATTCGAATAGGTGATATCACTTATTCGAATAGGTGATATCACCTATTCAGAAGCTGAATAGGTGATATCACTTATTCGAATAGGTGATATCACCAACTGAATAGGTGATATCACCTATTCAAAAAGGTGATATCACTTTTTGGCAGTAAATACCAAAACAGCGCCTCATATATAAGCTTCAATAATTATAATATATGACAAAATAAAACAACAGTAGATCAAAATTTGCTCAACCCATGAAGTCATATGTCAAAGAGAAGGTGAATTAAAAAAGGAGGTCTCGGCATAAAATTGGCCATCCATCATTTTATTGTGTAAATTACATTTTAATAAATTTTTTCATTAATCAATTACTGCTTTTAAAACAATTAACCAAAATATAATTTAAAAGTTGTTTTTCTTTGCTGTCACATTTGAAACAAGAATGTGCATATATACATGCTTATATAGAGAGTGCTTTTTGATATGTGATTCAATTATCCGGACGATTCATTTATCTGGACGATTTCGTTGGGGACAGAGGCGTCCGGATAAACGAGGCGCCACTGTAAATATGAAGCCCATGGACCACAATACTCACCTGAGTAACCTAACTGGAAGGGACTGAAAGAAGGAGAAAAATAAACAAAGAAGTCCGCATATTGAATCAAAACTCTACTGAAGACTGCATTCAATCAAGTACATGTACATGCTTGAGCTATGTGTTTGCATATTATAAACCAAATAAGAATAATGTTTAATGTTTTAAAGTCTCATCTGCCTAGTAGTGTGTTCTTAATTGTTTTACTCTAATTTTTAAACACATTTATACCCTTTATAATTTCAAACTTTATATACAATTACAGTATACAATTAAGTTTTAGATAATATCCTTTGAAAATACAGCTTTGACAATATTCAAACATATGATAAGGTATTACAAGTGTAGTACATGTATTATCTTTACCTCAAATCATAGACAATGATAATTAAATAAACTCCACATATGAGGCATAAAAGAAGTCTGTGAGCCAATGCTCACTAGTGATACCCTCGCTTTGATGTGAATACACAAGTTCAGTAATGGACAGACACAAGGATGAACACGAAGTTGACATCAGATTCATACAAAAATGTCTCCCACCATATTGCAGGCCTAAACAAAGAGTGTGCTAAAATTTCAAGCATCTGCAATTAGTAGTTGCTGAGAAAACTGTGACAAAAATTTGTTCTAAATGGTACGGACAGACGCACGGATAAACAGGAAGTTGACATCAGATTCGTACAAAAATTAATCCCACCATATGACATGCCTAAACAAAGAATGTACTAAAATGTCAAGCATCTGCAATTAGTAGTTGCTGAGAAAACTGCAACCAACATTTGTTATGTATGGTACGGACAGATGCACAGATAAACAGGAAGTTGACATCGGATTCATACAAAAATGAATCCCACCATATGGCATGCCTAAACAAAGAATGTGCTAAAATGTCAAGCATCTGCAATTAGTAGTTGCTGAGAAAACTGTAACCAAAATTTGTTATGTATGGTACGGACAGATGCACAGATAAACAGGAAGTTGACATTGGATTTGTACAAAAATGAATCCCACCATATCGCATGCCTAAACAAAGAATGTGCTAAAATTT